CCTCCGAACTGATTATTTAGGACCATATTGATCACCGCCGGTTTGATCTCGTATCGGGGTGCAGTAATCCCCGGTACCTGAATACTGTCATACTCTGTGATCTCGGGGGCTAGGAAGTCTGCAATGCTCTCTCCTTGATAGAGTGGATTGTCATGTGGGACATAGTTGTGGTAAGGAAGAGCTTGATATCTCGGCTGATGAACTGGTTGTGGTCTTATGGGTTGTGGACGGATGATATTTGGCTGAGGTTGGGTTTGATGGAATTGTTGATATTGGGGTTGGAAGGGCTGATTTTGTGGCTGAGTAGGGGGTGGATTTTGTGTGACTGGCGGTTGGTTCTGTCTGGGCTGAAAAACCGGATTATTTTGCCCTAGACCTTGCATCCCAAAGGTTTGGTTTTGAAAGGTGGGTTCGGGAGCAATAGAAGTGTTTTGAAAGAGCTGATAGAGTGGTGGAAGATTCAGTTGTGGAGTGGACTGATTTTGGTGGAAGAATGGGGTACGGAGATTTTGATACCCCGGATAAGCTCTAGGTGAATTTTCTTGTGAAGACTGGGGATAAGTATTGACATAAAAATCCAAATTACCAGAAGTGGTTTGGACCTCAGACGTCCCAGCTATTCCAGATGCGAATGGTTGATCCATGGTTGCTTTCTGTTCTCTTAAGGCCTTGCGGTTCTGCTTAGCTAGCTTCTCGATCTCAGGATTAAGAGGGACTAGTGATTCTCCCTTCTTAGAGCGTGTATGCATAAACAGATCTGACCTGCAAGGTTAGTAGACAAAAATCCTACGAAAAACTAAAAACAGGTCGCTAAAATTTATTAACCCTTAAATCCGACACCGTCCCCGGCAACGGCGCCAAAAACTGATGTGTGTTTTCTCGCACTTAAAATAGTTGTAGAAAAGTGGTTGAAAGTACGAGTATCGTCTCCACAGGGATGGACAAAAGGGAATTAAAGATTAACTAAATTCAGCGATTAAACAGAAATAAAATAAATGTGTCGTGCGAAATTTGATTGGGTGGAAAATTAAACTAATGCTAATGAGCAATAAAATAAAAAGATTGGTTTCTCTCTAATTAATGACGAAGGGAACAGGGATTGATTCCGGGGTAACCAGATTTCTGGCAGATCAGGCTTAATTACATGAATTTAATTTAATTGAGCCTAGCTAATCATTACTAAGTTCTTACCGCTCTCGCGGCGTAGAGTACAATAATTTAGGGGACCAGGCTGATGTCTCATGCGACAGGATCCTAAATTATTGCCAAGACGAGCGAGCTTACGGCCCCTTAATCGCTACTAATCTCTTAGCGAACGATTAAGTGTGTGTGAATGTGTCCTAGAACAAATTAGATCTCTCTTAATTCATTCTACATGCAATTGTAATTCTAGCTGCAGTCTAGGTTACAAGAGATATCAATTAAATTATTCAAACACAAATTAAACGGCATTCATGCAATTAAACCGACAAGAATCTAGCCATCAATCATGATTAACCCCTTCATCAACCCCAAATCCCTAATTAAACTACTCACAATTCATAATTGAAGAATCAACAGAATTGAGATGAATAGAAATAATTGTCATTAATTAAAAAGATGAACTTACAAATAATCCCAGGGTCTTGGAAGAAAATAGCGTAAAAACGGTGTTAAATTCGTCCCTAGGCCTCTCTGTAATGTTCGTAACCCTCAAAAAGGGTTAGGGAGGCCTTATTTATAGAAAAAGAGGGGAAAAAACGAGTTTGGGCCGAAGTAGGAATTTTCTGCGCGTGTCACGGGGCTACGCACGATCGTGCGTCCCTGCCTACGCACGATCGTGCGTAGCAGGCAGAGGCTTCATCGCGTTTTCGTAATGGACGCACGATCGTGCGTCCCAGACGCACGACCGTGTGTCTGACTTTTTCGCTCCGTTTTCTTGTTTTCTTGCTCCAAACGTGCCCGGATTCAAACGAGGTCGATCCCAATGCTCTTTCTTCATCAAAATTTCGCCGTGAATCTCCTGGTGACCTCCAAATCTCTCAATTCTTCCTTGAATGCTTTCTATCTCCTCCCGATTGTCTCTTCAGCGCCGATTGCCGGACTCTAACTTCTTCAAATCATCTCCAAATGCAACGAAACTCGATCCAACGCCTGCTAAACATAACTTGAGCCAAAATTGAGACTTGCAACGCCTTAAAGCTAGGAAAATCATCAAAATCCGACCCGGACACGCATCAAATGCGTGTCTAAATACGGACTTATCATAGCACCAGATTGACAAAGCATGTCACTGGATCAGCGAAGCTCATCAACGTTGTCGATGCCACTAATGGCAGAAGCTCTCCGCCGTTGGATGTATCGGTGCAAGTCGGAGAAGATGGTCGGACGAATTTGATGAAGAATCGATTCAGAAGCTCACGGCTCTACACTGCTACTCGGAGAAGATGGACGAAGGACAGTTGAGTCGTGAGGGCAGCTGAAGTTAGGAGATAGATTAGGGTTATTTGTTTTATTTATAATAGGGGCTTTTCAGTCCATTCATTAATACGGGGTCTCTTTTTTGTCCAGCTTAAAACTTGGTCCTGTCTTTGTCTATCGAAGAGCCCCTAGTATTATTTTAGTCATTCTTTCATAGAAAATTCATATTGACATATGTTTGAAATATTATTTCTAGTTAGGCCGGCCTCTCATCCACTTATTCGTGTTAAAGCTTGCACCTTATGTTTAGTCTCTCTATGTTATTCTACCGTGACTCTGTTCCTTGTCTAATTATGTTGAAGGTTGTCTTTTAAATAATTTAGACTCACTTTGGCCCTTGATGTTCTGTGCGCTGCCTTGAGTTGGACTCCCCTTTGTTTGTCTTAGATAGACCCGTGACCAGGGGTGGAGCCAAAGGTCAGGGTGGTCAGCCGACTCCGCTGAAAGTTTGAGAGTATAGAGCTCTGAAATATTTTCGATTTGATATATTATGGCCTCCGTAGCTCATTATGAGTAAAAAGTTATGACTTCTAGAAAATCAGCACTATCTAAACGTAATATCAGCAAAATTTGATGCGTAATATTGATTATTTTCCCAAATTTTAAAAATAACGTATAGTTAACTCATTACTTACGTGACATGATTCAGAAAAAGCAAAGACAATCTATCTTATTACTTACGAATGCCTGTTTATCTAAACTACAAATGAAACATTCAACTCGGATATTGTCTAAAAACGATCTACATTTTCATTTTGAACCTAGTTGATTTTTCGACTCCTCTAAGCCGTTTTTATGGCTCCGCCACTGCCCATGACTAAATAATGTTGACTCCTCTATAATTTTAGACCTTGTTTCTCCTTTGTGTTGTAGAGCCTGAGTGAACCCAAAGAGCAAATATAGCAGACTCCTTAAATTCCTTCCTCTTTGTGAGTGAGAATTTCCTATGTGTGAGTAACAAGATCGAGAAAGGAGTATGGCTAAATGTGGTGAGTGGGGGTGACTAAACTCATGGGTGGTGTGAGTAATTCTATTGATTTAGGTTGAAGATGTGAACTGAAAATGCAACGAATTGAACAAGATATTTAAAAAAATATAATGAAATAGCCTACATTATTATGAAGTAAAAACAAATAGGGGTCGAGATCAATTCAAGTATGGCCGTATGGGATTCGAATTGTGGGTCGGTTTCATTCAATTAAGGGAGTGTTTGCAATTGCTTCAACTTTAAAAAGTGATTTTTTAAAGTGATTTTGGGAAAAGTGATTAATAGTAAATGTTGGTAGTGTTTGAGAAAAAAGTGATTCTGAAAAAGTAAAAGTTGGTAGTGTTTGGTAAAATAAGTACTTTTTGTGTAATAAAAAAAGTGAGAAGCAGTTTAAAGCACTCTTCTACCTGCTTCCAGCTTTTAGCTTTTAAGTGATTAATTTGAGCAGAAACTGTCATTTGAAAACACTCTTTTCAACTTTTTTTAAGTCAAAAGCTGAAAAGTGCTTTTTTAAAGCAACCCCAAACACTCCTTAATTTCGATTAACGGAGTGTAGTTAGTTTTTTTTTAAAGTATTTTCGGTTACCCCTGTCATTTTGGATATAATGCTACCTCATTGGTACGTTAGTACGTAGGGTCGTAGGGACAAGTCGTTATGTTTGAGATTCAATAGAAACTTCTTTTTTAATCCTAATTAATTCTCGTTAGGCTTTCTATCTTGAAGGTTTAGTAATCATGGACGATTGATTGTCACACATAGCTTACATAGTCAACAACCAGCTTGGGGCCAGCATTACATTACCATTATTAGTGTGGTTGAACGAACCAACCAACCAACTTAGGAAAATAGCTGTTTTTACCAAATCAAATATAGTTACACACTCGATAACCATGAAAAATATAGTTACATACTCCCTCTGTCCCAAATTGAATAACAAATTTGATCTTTTTGGATTAAACTGTCTCATTTTATTCACTTAATTAGAATATATATCAATTCTTAATCAAATTTTAATTTGGATTTTGTAACCTAATAGAGATTTTAATGTAGTTTCCTAACATGTAATTTTTAATTATTAAAATTGAGTTATTTATTTATAGAGAGAATTTAAATTTAACATTGGTTGACCCAAAAAATTGACTTGACAAAACAAATTGGGACGGAGGTAGTACTTTTTTATATACACTTTTGTGAGAAAACCATTTTTGTTGTTGTCAATCTCGTTCACACATATTTTTATATTTACCAAAAAAATAGTATTCTCACCTCACATGTGTGTATAAGAAAGTGTTACAAGAAGAATGGTTGAAAATTTATCTACCCCATGAGTTTCACTATTGTACGTAGTATTGTCCTTCGAAAATGGAGATTGTAATTCGAGTTCTGTCCTAATTTTAAAAAAAAATGACGTTATTATAATAGGATACAAGTATTGCTCAAAAAAATTACTATAACTGAACTTAAATTCAAAAAAAAGAAAAGAAAATATTGTACTTTGTAGTTTGTATATATACTTAATTAATAAAGAAAGCGAACATAATGCTTACATTCCTTTAAAGCCAGTCTAGGTACACATGGGCATAACCCACAATTCAAAAACACATTTATGTTTGTATATATAAGTAAACAGCGATATTTGAAAGTAAAGGATAGGTAGCTGAATTAGTGAGAAGCTGGACGAATCAACTAAGATGCCTAAACAAATGATAACGGAGCAGCAGTTGTTGATGCTGAAGAACTCCGGCAGCGTCTTCAGCTACTCCGGGATCATTGGCAGTCCGATGGCCGACGACAAGGAGGACGATATGACAAAATCTGCCCTTTCGGCCTTTCGCGCCAAGGAAGAGGAGATACAGAGGAGGAGGAGAGAAGTGTCCGAGAAAGTGCAAGCACAACTCGGTCGCGTTGAGGAAGAAACTAAACGTTTGGCTGATATACGAGAGGTAATTAATTAAGGAGACACATAATAAGTTTCTTATTCATTATTTCTTAGATTTTTTGTAGTACTACGTATGTTTTTTTCTAGGGATAAAGGTCAGATAGGGCCTCGAACTTGAAAAAAATGTCAAATAAGGTCATATTTAGGATGTTCTGTCCGGCCGACGCCATTTGGGACGGTTCCCGGTGATATTTTTTGATGAATTTTTTTGAGAATCTTATTCATTAAATCTAGTTTACTCATATCAAATTTGAATTAAAACTTTAATCGGGAAGGCATTCAAATGAATTTTTGAAGATGACTGTGCAGTTAAAAACGCAGTTATCTTCAAAAATTGATTTGAATGCCTTCCCGATTGAATTGTTAGTTCAAATTTGATATGAGTAAACTAGATTTAATGAATAAGATTCTAAAAACAATTCATCAAAAAATTCCACCGGGAACCGTCCCAAATGGCATCATCCGGACATAACATCTTATATATGGCCTTATTTGACATTTTTTTCCAAGTTCGAGGCCCTATTTGACCTTTATCCCTTTTTTCTATGATTTATATTCCGTATCATGATAACATTACTTATATTGGAGTAAAACGTAGACAAAATGCATAAGTTTCTAAATAAGATCATAATTATTTTCTTCCAAACAAGCTCTTAAAAGTTAGAAATATTTGCGTGAAAAGTTAAATTAGTTGACAATCAGTATTGTTGTTGACAAAATTATAGTGTTTTTGGATAGATGTACTTTTAACCTCTTATAGACCTTATAATATCCGTTGTTAATGTCAATATCTTTGATTGGAACATGAACTTAACTTTTCTTAGGCATGTCACATGAAATCACATAGTCACACGTACTGCAAATTACTGGAGATGAATAACCAATTAATTGAAAACCCGTAAAAAACGAGTTCATTTAAGCTAGGCATAACAAAGGAAGCACAAACTAGCATCGAATCTAACCCTTAATAAACATCATTATTTGATTTTCACGGCATTATTTCCATAATTATATTCTAAGTGCTTTTGGAATTTTAATGGATTATGTCAACAGGGGGGGGGGGGGGGATTATAACTTTTTTAAAATATATACTCCGTATAAAACTAACACACGTTGAGCAGATCAGAACTCAGAAGTAGTTCATGATAATTCATGTACTATTATAAACTAACACGTAGTGTAAATTATCAAAAGAGTTAATAAATTGTAATTAGGAATTTAAATGATACTTTAATTATTAGGGACCTATTTAAAACAGTACTTATGCAAATAGCTTAGCTTTAATTCTTACGATTTCTAGTTTTTAAGATTTTTTCCGATCAAAATACATATTTAAAATATTTCGCTATACGTTGCAAAGTTTTTGGTACTAAAATATCAAACGCTGTTTAATTTAATCGGTTAACCGTATTAATTTTCCTAAAATGTTTGTCATGTAAACAATAAAACAAATTACCAATTTTCGTTAAAAATGCTTGCTCCAGCCACCAGTAGAAATTAATCTAATCACTGTATGTAATTATTTTATAATGAACACCATCGTCAAGATACTCATGTTTTAAAGTATGATGATATGTTTTTTTTTCTTTAGGAACTGGAAGGATTTGTTGATCCAATGGCAAAAGAAGTTGCCGTTGTGCGCAAAAGGATTGATCACGTCAGTCGCGAACTGAAACCCATCGGACAGACCTGCCAAAGGAAGGTCAGCATTTCTATCAATACTAATGCTATCTGTACACCAGCATTTTAGACACCGGTCAAACTGTCTGTATGCACACAATTTGATCAGCGTTGTGTGAAAAAAATCGTTTTCATAAAACAATTTTTGTCGTGTGGAAAATGAATCTCTTCACAAAATGCCGGTCAAATTATTTGTACGCAGATAATTTGACCGACGTGTAAAATGTTTTGTACACAATCTATCAATTTGGCTCATTTGTGTACCTCTCTCTGTACACGCTTAATTTGTACGCTTCCGTCTAGAAAGTTAATGTAGCTAGGCATTTTTAAATGAAAAAATTAAATGCATACGGGTTTAAAAGAAAGACACTAAAGGAAATTCAATCGAATTAATACAAATAAAGAAATAATGACAAATATATGACTACAATAAAAATAGTGAATAAAAATATTACTGCGTACTTTTTATACTTCAGTGACTATCATTGTAATTTTAGTAATCATGATTATATTCAATTATACATTGTACTGATTATATATTAGGGGTGGGACTTGGAACCGTAAAACCGGAAAACTGATCCGAACCGAACCGAAATTTCCGGTTCGGTTCGGTTCCTAGAGTTTTGGACTTGAGCTTTTTTCGGTTCGGTTCCTATAGTATTTCATCGGTTCGGTTCCGGTTCGGTTCCAATTCGGTTCCGGTTCCTAGCCAGGAACCGAACTTCTTATACATTGCATGAGTAATCTTCATTTGAAGTGCTTCTGAGTGGAATTTTTTGATGAAATTTGGTGAGAATGTTTTTCATGAAATAAAGATTATGTCCACCAAATTTGAGCTTAAAATGTAATCGGGAAGTCAGTTAAATAAATTATTGAAAAACAGTACGCCAACATATATAAAAACGCAATGTTTTTCAATATTTTATTTAATTCACTTCCCGATTGAATGTTAAGCAGAAATTTGGTATATATCATCTATATTTCATGTAGAACATACTCACAAAATTTTATCAAAAAATTCTACACGGAAGAACCTCAAATGGAGATGGCCAGACGGCGTTCCGAGCCAATCCGGGTAATTATTTGTCAAGAATATTTTCTTGCATAATATACCTTATATATTGTGGACCAGACCAATCCAAGTAATTATTTGAATACTTTAGTCCACTTTTATATTTATTTTTTGTTTGTAAATGTAAATGTATTGGAGTTCATCTGAAAAATGAATTAATATTCTATTGATTACGTTGTTTATTACTACGTACATTTTACCTATTGTGCATTACTAGTAGAAGAATATTATTTTGAGGTTGAACTACCAGCTATTAAATGTGTACTTTGGAGATATCAAACCTTTTTGCTCGACTGTTGATGCCTATTTTAAACCGAGATTTTTGTTATGTTGAAATTTAATGTTGCACTTGGATATATATATATTTTTTTATTTGAACATTGAGATATCATGCACGTATAATGTAATGGTCATTATTTAATGATTTAAAGTTTGAATTTTTTTATTTAACTGAAGGTAAAATGTGTTCATTTCAGGAGGATAGTAAAATTTTATAAGGAACCGAAAAAAGGTAAGAACCGAACCGAATTTAAGTAGAACCGAACCGAATTTAACAACCATTTTTTTTAACTAGAACCGAACCGAATTTAAACCCTACAATTTTTATACGGTTCCATCGAATTTTAACAAGAACCGAACCGATCTCAGGCCTATTATATATATATATAGTAACTATAGTAGGGAGTAATATTGTTTTACGACAGCTTAGATTCCAGTAACACTAAAGGAAAACTCTCTAATACAAAATGTCAAAATTGCTTTGTTTTTTCAGACTGATAATTATTTTACGACAAAAATGACTATGACAAAAACTTTGGGGGAGATGGTATTGTAAGATTTCTTCACTGGTACATTAGGCAAGACTTAAAATCCCAAAACATTAAAAAAAAAATGTACTGCGTATGACCCGATTTCGAATTGACGGTTAATTAATGATGATGGTTAGCTGGACGGTATCTATGCAGGAAAAGGAATACAAAGAAGCTTTGGAAGCGTTTAATTTAAAAGTTAAAGAAAAAGCTCTGCTAATGACGAAATTAATGGAGCTGGTGGATGAAAGCGAAAAGCTGAGAATGAAGCAATTGGAGGAGTTAAGCAAGAGCTTAGATTCTCTAAACTAATTATTATAACGATAATCCATTAATTTGATATTTGAATTCGTGAAAATTGTTGATTGTGTATGTTCCATTTTGCTGTTTTTTGCTGCGATCATTTACAGGCAGGAAAAAAGGAAAGAAAATAATTATTTTTCGTATATTTCTCATAAGCTGCTTTGGAAGTTTGGGTTTGACCAGCTTAATTTGTCTTAGTTAATGTAAATGATGATATGCTTGCTTCCTTGTTAAGAGCATCTCGAATGCTACAATGTCTTAGCATAAAAGATTGATTTTATGACATTTCTCTCTCCTTTTTCACGGTCTTATGTATTTTTGGTAAGTTTTTCTCTGCAATGTCTATCATAATGTCTACATCTAGACATTGTGTTTGACACTGTGAAGAAAATCTTACCAAAATGCTGTAAGATCTTTCAAATGAGGAGATAGATATTTTATTTATTGTTTTTAATTAGTTATCTCTCATGTCACGTATGCACCGTTAACATTTTAGCATTGAAGATGCTCTAAAGAGATATCGTTAATGCGGTTATATGATTATGATCTTTCTATTTACGGTCCATTTTGCGATTAAAAGGAATAATCGCAATAATATTCTTATGAAATAAAGCATAGTTATAATGTCATGAATTCCTTTTGGATAGACACATACACCCAAAAAAGAAAGGGTAAACCATCAAATAAGTCCCCTTACTAAATATGTGTCATTTAATTATTGCTTTTAATACTTGCATTTACTTTTAAACTGCTTAACTCTAAAGACGTGGGATCTGTATTTAGCAGAACACCTCTTAAGAGTTAACAGAAGGCCAAGTGCCTTTGCACCTCTGTGAGGCTATCCCGACAGAACTCCTACCAGAAGATCATCCGCTTCCAGTCTGTTCTCCAACAGAACAGGCTATTCTGTTAACATTGATACTTAGCTTGAAAAGTTAAAAACCATAACAGTCTACTCAACCCCCTCTAGACTGTTACCTTGATAATCGGGACCAACAATATATCTTCTTATTGAGGTGATGACCGGCTCCGTCTAATAGGCTCCCTCTTTGTATATTCGTGCATGTTTGGTAGACATAAATTCTTACCTTCCAACTTTTGTTCTATTTAAAAATTCTTAACAACTTCTAGTTGTATGTTTGGCATGCATGTTAATTAGTAAGAGCTTTTTCAAAAATAAAAGATCTTTTTGAGATGCTAAAGTGAGTAGCATCTGAGAAAAGTCTGTAGTTTTTAACACTAATTACTCCCAACACCTTGTATACCAAACAAATCTAAATCATACAGTCAGTTTTTATCAAATAGACACTGTCTTTTTCTTTTAAGATCTTTCAGGTCACTAAAAGCTAATGGATACTAAAAAAACTCATAAAAGTATCTTTTCAGCTAGTTGTGCCAAACATACCTTACACGTATGATGAAAGCTGAACGATATAGAGTTAATTTGATTTGTCTCTTTAAAGAAAAAACCTCATATTGTTTTGAAATTTAAAAACATAAATTCAAACAAATACTTCGTATATTTTTAACCATCGATACGCACACTCACCCTTTGGTTCATCTAAAAGATATCAATAATGTCATCAGCTGGTCGAACGATAAATTCTAATATTTAAGGAAGCGATCCAACTCAGTTGTCGTCGACTCACTCCCTCATATAAGAAGTCTTGGGTTCAGAACTTCACGGAGCTAGGCAGTTCCATCTCTATTTATCCCCAGTCCCGACCCCCTCATGTAAAAAAAGGTTAAAACCATTAGTCATGCTTAAACATAAATTTGCAGAGAATAACACACATTTCATCTCATGGATATACCACCAATATCATAATATAAAATATGAAGCATCACAATACAAACAAGAGTATTTGATCATCTCATGCTAAATTGTTATTAATATTACCATTCATCCACGTGAGTACATATTTATGACTAAACATGGTTTAAAGTGGATTTAAAAATATTAAAGCACATTAAAACTCGTCCTACGAAAAGAATAGTTTTTAAATACAATCATATATATAGAATTCAATTTAGCACACACTGTAATTAAATAGTGTATAGGCATCGTGTAGGTTCAAGTCGCCTCGAGTCTAGGGGCGGATCGTAGTAGAGATCCAGGGGCTACCGCTCTCCCAACAATTCTTTTTTAATGTATATATACGAAAAATAATTTTCTTCCCCTCACAAAATAATTTTCACCCTCCAAAAAATATTTTGAAACCCCAAGATTAATTTCCTGGGTCCGCCCCTGCTCGAGTAAAAAATAGTCAAACCTCAAACATAATTTAAACCATGTTTTAGAAGAGTAACTATAATCTACTTCATGAAATAAACATAAGAAAATTTATTTAAAACATAGATTAAATTAACATATAGTCTTGGTCGAATAATTTAAAATGGATTTAGAATGTGATTTTAAAATCATATAAACATATTTCTCCGAGTATATAAAATCTAGCATATATTGGGCATGTTCACGTTTGAGGCGATGTCGAAATTATTCAATAAAAAAAGATTTAAAATACATGTCTACAGTTTAACATGCACTCATATATTTGATGGTTAAATCATCAATATCATATCATTAAACGAGACACTAACACAACAAAAGCACTTAATCACAATGTTATTTCTAGAACATCATTTATTCATGAAACTAAGTACACATTAACAATCAAACACAGTATAAACGTGAATTTATATATTCATGTAACTAAGTACATTTTAACAATCAAAGTATAAAAGGGCATGAAAAGCAGTAACACAAAACTATGGCAAACCCCAATTAACTGTTTGGTCGGTACTGGTGGCACTCGGGGATGAGTTGTCATCGTGTTTTTTACAAAACTAAAGTAAATGATTCAAATAACTTGGATACAAAAAATAGTTCAAACATCATATGTATTCTCGTTTGGTATCGTCTCAAAAGTAATCAAATATAAATCATAATGTCAACATTACTTCATAGAGTAATAGTAACTACTACATGTCATACAATAACATAATGATGTAAACCATGAGAAAAGAAGTTAGACATATAATGCATATGTCCACATGTTCAAGCCCCACACCGGAAAATTGTGAAATAAAATTGTTTTATATTAAGATCTGAGTTACTCCACCTATTAAGTTGACCTTTTATGATGAAACCTCAGGTCTTAACATGATATCAGAGCTCAATCAATCCATAATCATTCTGTTGCCCCCTATGAAAAAATGACAATGATGAAATGATGAAAAAAAGACTGAACACACGATCCAGACGAAGTGTCTAGTCATGAAAAGGGGTGTTGAGGTATCATGTTATAATTGTGAAATACTCCAGTATTATAATAATATTTGAATTGTTCCTCTTATCATGTAGACCTTTTAGAATGGAACCTCAGATCTTAACACCACACAAAATTGCTAGTTTAAAACACATTGAGGGTATTTGGCAATCGGTTGTTAGCTGTTAACAAATTGTGTTAGCCGATACGTAGTAGATGATAGCAAATTCTGTTGGCCGTTTTAAATAGACGATAATATTAGCAGTTTGTAAAATGGTGTTTGGTTATATGGTTGTTCATTATTAGCCGATAACTTATAAAATGACTTTAAAGGACTTCTATTAATGTTTTTGTTTAGTTACTACACTTGTACACATACCAGATGAAATTGTGATTATTATTACTGTAATGGCAATTTTAACCCATGAAACCTTGTCATTGGCCAGATTCCTACAAAAAAAATTATTACTGTAATTGAATTTATGAATTTCATAGTCATTCCTGCGGAGACATAATTTGTCACTTGCTTTGTAGATGACAACCTTTCAAACAAGGCAAATTCACCAACTCCATATAATGCTTCTGCTCTGTATTTGAAGATGGCTAAGGCTTCTCAATAATTACAAGAATTCCTCACCATGGATCGATTTGGCTCTGATACCATGTTAAGACCTGAGGTTTCATCCTAAAAGGTCAACCTATTAGGAGGAGTAGCCCATGTGTTAATATAGCACTTCGTTCATCCAAATTTTTCCGGTGTGGGACATTTAACAGGATTAGTCCCCAAAGTCGGTTGTGAAATTGATAACATAAATAACTAGAGAGGTGGAGCAAACATGGAGAAAAATGTGGTGTGGAAGAGAAGAAAGGCATGGGCAGATAAGGAAAATGAGAATAAAAATGGATCAAGTAATTCCTAAACGCCATGTTTATTAGTTTTTCTATTTTGGATGTTTGAGGCAAAAAGCTAAATGAAAAAACCATCCATGTTTATTAGCTTTTTCTATTTTGTTTTTTTGAGGTAAAAAGCAAAATGAAAAGCCATGAATCAAACACCCCCTTTAGCTGATTGATATGGTCAAAAGACTATTTTATAGTCGAATCAGACAAAAATGGCTGATTGGCTCTCTACCAAACACCCCAGCCATTGTTTTAAATCAACAATTAATCATGGACTTTACATGTTATTTTAACATAAAATTGTATATAATATAAATAAGAATATATTTTCAAAGTATTTAATGTACAAAGTTGTGTGGTTTAATTTCTCACTCAAGATAATGTTACAAAAGTAGTGATGACATGCATATAACAACAAGTATATTAATCATATCATGTGAATATTGTTTTCAGAACTCATCATTAATTCATATTAGTAGATGTTGAGATATTGGGTCCAGGCCCAATACACCAGGCCCAAAGCATGGGGGAGCCCGAGGGAAGCATTAGGCCCAAAGCGGTCCAGATCCCCTGATCGGTGTTCGGCCTATTTCTTCTACTTGGAGTATTTCAGGAAACACTGACACCTAAACACCCATGGCGGGGTCCCGCACACCGAACGCCCTACCCGAACGGGTAGTCAGCAAGTGGAAGCCGCATTTATTGCTGCAGTATGACAGTAGCAAGTAGGGGCATGGGGTCGCAAGTGGCAAAAGAGCAGCAGCCATTGGGGCTCCTCCACGTCAGCATCCCACCTACCCCATCTTAGTATAAATACCTGCATTGAATACATTGTAAAGGGTTAGCATTTTAATACTCAGAGCTTAGCAAATAGAATTATCTCTCTTATTCTTGTATTCTTGTACTCACCTACCGTTCAGGTAGTCCAGTGTAATCGCAGCATTACTGAATACAAGTTAGCTTCTGAGTTGAGTAATATTTCACTATTTTATATTTTTTCCAAACCAACCAAACGTCCTTAAATATCCAAAGCTTGTGTTGGGCTTCTGGATCTTCGGGATTAAACCTCAACAGTAGAAATAAACAATCAATGAATGTTGTAAACATGATTTTGAGAATCAAAAGGCAAAAAAAATAATTGTCTATAAATTATGAGGACGATT